CGGAAAGCCATCACTCCCCTCTACACATACCACCCAACATCCAACCTTTATGCCAACAAATTTGGTAGAAATTGTAAGCCAAAATACCTTACTCACGAATGCAAAAACTGTCACCACCACCTATTCCGGCAATACCTAAGCCATTCCCAACATTCCAATCGATTCTACACACCAATACATCCCTGTCCATGGTCCTCAAATGTCCTTTAATGCACACAATCAAACCCAACAGGCTGTAGCTTCGAACACAACCGCTACGCAGCTTTCAGGAGATTTTTTCGGCACCGGTGGTGGGACCCATATCGCAGACCACTACCCTAGGTTCCTACTCTTCGTGGCACATCCAATGAGCATATGAGTCTTCCCCAATTTCGCCTGGACATGACAGTTCATTCATAAGCGGAGAAGACAATCCAACCGTTTCAACCCCTTTCAATTGATGTTCCTCCACAACTCCAATCAACAAATTGCTCCAATCAGCATACAATTCCAAGTGTAATGACTCTAGGTAGGGAATCAATTGTTGCAATTCACCACTCAAACGAAGCAACTTTGGATTTGACCTAAAAAACTTCCCACTCGGCCGAGGAGAATTTCTATTGATTTTGCCCATATAATTTGTTGTTTGATTGGTTTGTTTATGGGTATGTGTAGAGGGGAGTGAGGGCTTTCCGATGGTATGGAGGTCCGGTGGTTTGGGCGATGGTTGGCTGGGGATTTTTGGCTTCAAAGGTGGAGGCTTAGGGGTGATGGTTTTTTCAAATTTGGACTCGTTCGCACCTTTTAAAAAGTTTGGACACATAATTGCAATGTGTTCTTTATTTTTCTTTTCTTTTGCTTTTGTTATATTTGATTAAGAGGATAAAATCNTGGGGATTTTTGGCTTCAAAGGTGGCAGCTTAGGGGTGATGGTTTTTTCAAATTTGGACTCGTTTGCACCTTTTAAAAAGGTTGGACACATAATTGCAATGTGTTCTTTATATTTATTTTCTTTTGCTTTTGTTATATTTGATTAGGAGGATAAAATCGTCAAAATATGGTGAAAAGGACTTTCGGCGTACGAAACGTTGAAGGTAAGGGCATAAATGTCAAGAAATGAAAGGTGGGGACGATTTCCACAATACATGTCAAAGGTATGGACGTTTTGTGCCAATTACCCAAGATTCTATTATTGTAAAGAACGTTTGGAAATTTTGGATCAGAAATTTTAAACCTTTCAAAAAAGTGGAGTACATTTCTGAATCTTTAAAACGTATATCTGAAAATTCGTTAGTTGACCAAAATTTAAGCTTTTGATTGTAATTTAATCATATTCAACAAGGGCAAAATGATCTCATACTATTTTTCACTTTAAAAAATAAATGTAAACTTTCTTCATATTCCTGTTCTTTCTTTTCGATTTTTCGTGTCTTTCTCTTGAATGTAGGGTTTTCCCATCACCTTCACAAATTTCACCCAAAAATAATCAGAAATCAAAACCCATAATTTTTTGTGATGAAATCCGTTTCGCGTCTTTCAATTTGGTATAACACCACCTATAATCCCAAATTTAGAACGAGAACACACGAAATTTAAAAAAACAAAGTACATGTGATTATGGTTGTCAACTAGCCGAAACTTGCGGCTTGTGCGTGACCCAACATAAAAAGGCTTGAGCTTTTTTTCCAAAATTCTGTGGCTTGGCTCAAGCTTTTAGGTTGGGCTTCATCGAGGGGAGCCGGGCCGCTTGCAATTTGTTTTTTAAATTCGTGAAATTTTAAATTATTTTTAACAATGTAAATTTTCTATATTTATTCTAATTGCAAATTAATTAAAAGTTATAATACTCCTTATCTTTTCGGACTTGGGATTGACTATGATCAACATAGATGGAATTAAAATTGTATATGAATAAAATACTTATTGTACAAAATTTTTTTAAAACAAATAAATTTAAAAATTATATAATTAAATCAACAAATGAATTTTTAAAAAGTTAAACAATCCTATCATTTGATCTGTGTAACTCTTTGGCCATTATACTATTAATTTTTTTCTTGAAAATGTAATTCCACATATTCTCAATCTTTTAAGCATATTTAACCTTTTGTTTTGAATACTTCTTCCTCTTGGATATCCTTCAAGTTAGTTGGAACATTTTCAAATGTATCATAGTTGGACGGAATACTCGAATTACCCCTAAATTGGTTAACATCATCATTAGTAAAATTCATTTGTAACTATTTTTGAACAATTAAAATTGACAAATTATAGCAAAATAAATTGGATATCGGGCAAAGAAGCTGAAGATTGGGGTTGAAAAATAGAATACTTTAATATAAAATTTTTTGAAGTAAATTAATATGGAACCCAAGATTTTAATTTTACATTTATAGCAAAAAAAATTGAAACCAAATTGAAATTTTTTGGCCCGTTCTGTATAGCAATATGTCTTTGAGAAATGCTATTTGTCAATTGACACCCGATTTACAGCCCCGGGGGGAGGGGGGGTGTACACTATGTCTTTTTGGCACAGAGTTCTCTTTGCAAAGAGATCGGAAAACTCCCATCATCGCAACTGCAGGTGCAAAACTTGCAAAAAGCAGGCACTACATGGCCATTTCTCGTCGAGCCGCACGGGCACACTGGCCAGCCCCAGGCTAGGGTTGTCGCCCAAAATTTGGGCTTGGCCAGAACCTTGGCTCGAGCTTTTTCCTGGCCCATTTGACACTGATGTGATTTTAATCTGTTTTACTTAAATGGGTTTTGTTGTGAATTTTTTGTCGTTGATGAAATTGTGTTGCAAAGATCTGAACAGAGGTGAGGGGTGGGGTAGGTTTGGCGTGGATGAGGAAAATGAAAAAATTAATTTTCATTTCATTTTATTTCCTCTTTTTTATTTAATTATTTTAAGTAAAAAATGTTAAGAGATCATTTTGGCCATTTAAAAATGGTCAAATTATGGTTATGCGTTAGAATTTTGATCAAGAAATGGATTTTTGGAAGGAAATCATTTAAAGGTGTGAAAGGTTAGGGGTGCATCTATTATGATTTAAAGATTTGGGACTACGATACACTTTTTTGAAATGCTTGGAACCTCCACTACAATTTTCTCATAATGTCTTATCATTCAGATGTAAGAACTACAAATACGTGTTCAAGCATACAAGTCGTAGATGCAAATATATTTTTGTAGCCCCTACGGGCATGACGTAATAGTAAAGCATGATGGTTTTCTACGGAGTATCGAATATTCGAATCCCAGCTGCAGCTGGAAAGCAACGTTTATGTTGGAAGACAACATTTAAATGTTGGAAGGCATGAGTTCACAGGGAGGAGAATCACCGAATATCCGATCCAAGTGTGTATAATCTGTGACTGCATCCAGATTAATCTAGGTGGCGAACCAGGGGGAAGGTCGCCACTCCTCATGATTAGTCGGACGAAGTTGGACACCCTAGTCCTTAAAAAAAATATTTTTGTAATTTTGACTACACTAAACTTAGGGTCCGTTTGATTGCAAGGGTGAAAAATGTGTGAAAAGAAAATGAATTCCTAAGAAAATAGTTGCCTAGAACTTATTTTTTAGGAAATTGTTAATTAAGTGTGTTTGATTGGTATAATTTTTCACCCGAAAAATTTTGGATCTTTTTGTATTTGTTTGGCTTTATTCTACATGAAAATTGTTCATTAAAGTGATAATTTTTTCCACAATTGATTATAAAATTTGTTTCCATTACCAAAAAGTAAAAAACAAAAAAAACAAAAAAAAAATTTCTTAGAAAATCATTTTTCATCAAAGTTTAGTGTTCGTTTGGTTTTGTTTTACATGAAAATTGTCTATTAAAGAGAATTTTTTTTTTACAATTGATTATGAAATTTGTTTTCATTCCAAATAATAAAAAAAAAAACAGAGTTGTAACTTCCAATTCCCACCAAAAAGGTGGGAAAATCAATTCAACCATTGCCAAGAAAACAAGCGCTTGAGCAACATGGGTGGAAAACCAAATGCCAAGAAAATTATTGCCATCAAACACTATAAAACTTGGAAAACGGAAAAAGGTTTCAATTTTCCATGAAAAAGGTGGTGTATCAAATACAATCTTAATAAAATAGCATATAAACATATCGCATACTTTCCTTCTTTAATAATGTCCAACCCTATTCAATTCAGCTTAGAAATGCAAATGCAAATAATTTTTCACAAGTGAATTACATTTCGTAATTATTGAGTCATGTACAGTAGACTTTTCATTAGTGATGGCAATGGGGCGGGTTCGGAGCGAGGCGACCACCCCACCCCACCCAACCACGTTACTCCCCCTCTCCGCCCTGTGCCTCACCCCACCTTAGACAGGGCTGGGTGGGTGCGGGGTATGGACTTGTCCCGTTTCCTGCCCCATTTTTTTTTTTAATTTTTATTTAAAATACAAATTCAAAATTTTAAAATCCAAAGCAAATAATGTTCAAACTAACTATATCAATATTCAAAGTAAGCACTTGAAACAAAAAAATGTTCAAAACAATTTTTTCTTTTTTTTTTAAAT